GATGCACATTGGAAAGGGATCAGCACCACACCCACCAAGCATGGGCCCCAACGTCCCCAAAATGCGTGGTATGACGCAGCCACTGCTCATTGGGCTGCCATTAAGGGGCTCATGCGAGCCAAACATCCAACCAAGCAGCGACTCAACAGCTTCTGGTTTAGGATGTACTGTCATGGCACCCCCAAGGACCCTGATCCTTCGGCCCTGCGTGCTGCTTTTTTTTTTTCCTCTGGCGCCTCTTTACTACATCAGTAGCACAGTAGGCCGGTCTTGTTGGGCTCGACATAACAGGTGAAACGAAAAGAGAGCCAAACTGTACAAGCCAGCGAGCGAAAAAGAAGTCGTGACTACAAAGAAGCAACCGCAAGCGCAGAGGCCCTTATTGCAAGACAACTTATCGCAAGGCCAGCGAGGTCTACCGGCACCAATCACTCAGCAGCCCGTCACCCAAAGCAATGCTGCGCCACGTCTGGTACAGACATTAAGCGAAAGTATGGGAAGGCCGTAAGGCAAGGAACCTCCGTCACCTAAACTGCTCAACGCGTCCGTAGAGACAGTCCCCACACAAGCGCCAGGGCCGTAGCAATAGCACTCAGGACTCCATTGTAGATTGGCAAGAAAGTTGCAAGCACACTAAGCACAATGCACACAGAGTGCCAGAAGAGGCGCCCCCTTCCCCCCCGACGAGCGGGGGCAGACAAGGGGCTAGTGTGGCTACACTATGCTGCCGTCTGCGCTGTGTGAGTCTGGGCGTCCTCACGTAGCTATGGCCATAGGGCAGGCCTGGAGCGCAGCTTGCAAGAGGCCATATTCTTTCAGCCCCGCGCAGCGGCCGATTTTTGAGACGGCGCAAGAGCCCCAAAGGCTGCTGGCTGGTACTTGGGTAGTGTGCTTCCCAGGTACCGGGAGCCTATCGGCTTGGCGTGCTTAGCCTGGTGCAGTTTAAGGCCCACAAGGTTGCTTAACGGTCTGCAGCCAACCGCGCGTCAAGTGTGAGAGTCAAGGGGCCTTAGAACTCGGAGCCCCGCGCAGCGGCCGATTTTTTGAGAGCACTTCAAGCCGGTTTACCCCGTGACTACACCTGATGCGGGACCCACAGCTAAGTGCTAGGCCTAGTCACTTCTGGACCTGCTGGAATAGGTCGAAGCAGCAGTTCCTCACATCCCTTTTGGGCCTTCTGGCGAAAGTTCCGGCAGCCGTGTGCAGGGCTTAATCACTTCTGGGCCTTCTGGAGAAGTTTTAGGCAGCAGTTTGAGAGGCCTACTTACTGCTGAGCCTCCCGGAGAAGTTTAGGCAGCAGTTTGAGAGGCCTAATCACTCTGAGCCCTCCAGGAAAGGTTGAGGCAGCAGTTTGAGAAGCCTAAGGGCCTTCAGGCAACTGTTGGGACAGCAGTTTGAGAGGCCTAATCATTTCTGGGCCTTCTGAAAACCTTGAGGCATCAGTTTGAGAGGTCTACCACTGCTTTTGCGTGCCACAGCGCAGGAGGGCGGGCGCCCTCCTGGCCGGGCAGTGAGACGGCAGGCAAGGTGCCCAAGATGCCTGTCAATAGATGTGGCGTCCATTGCTTGGCATCCAGAAACAGATACTGTGGTCCCTCAACTGCCCCGCGCAGCGGCCGATTTTTGCGACTGCAAACCTGTCACAGAATGGGCAGTTTGCGGGACTTAATCACTTCTAGGCCTTCTGGAGAAGTTTAAGGCAGCAGTTTGAGAGGCCTAATCACTCTGAACCCTCCAGGAAAGGTTGAGGCAGCAGTTTGAGAAGCCTAATCTGCAGGCAAGGTGCCCAAGATGCCTGTCAACAGATGCGGCGTCCATTGCTTGGCATCCAGAAACAGATACTGTGGTCCCTCAACTGCCCCGCGCAGCGGCCGATTTTTGCGACTGCAAACCTGTCACAGAATGGGCAGTTTGCGGGACTTAATCACTTCTAGGCCTTCTGGAGAAGTTTTAGGCAGCAGCTTGAGAGGCCTACTTACTGCTGGGCCTCCCGGAGAAGTTTAGGCAGCAATTTGAGAGGCCTAGTCACTCTGAGCCCTCCAGAAAAGGTTGAGGCAGCAGTTTGAGAAGCCTAATCACTTCTGGGCCTTCAGGCAACTGTTGGGACAGCAGTTTGAGAGGCCTAATCATTTCTGGGCCTTCTGAAAACCTTGCGGCCAAGGTGCTCAAGATGCCTGTCAATAGATGCGGCGTCCATTGCTTGGCCTTGTGATATCTCTCCGCCTTGCTCGCAGGTCCCGCAGGTCAATAAGCTTCAGACTCGAGATCTCTCTTCCTGCTGCTCCCTGGTTCGGCCCTGCGTGCTGCAGTTACCTCCTTCCCCTTTCAGTATAAGGACGAGGTGTTGTGCAGCACAGGCAAATCCAGGAAGCTGTCCGGGTGATGTGGCTCGCGGCCCAAACCTCAATGACAAGATACATGCGTATCCCCATTCCGGACGGCATCTCTGAGTGGGAGGTTGATGAGCAAGAGCTGCCTCCAATGCAAGTCATGCCCAGCCGTACCGCAGGGAAGCGTTCCCATACCACCTCAGCTGGGCCATCGCTCCCGGCGTCCGGACTGGAATGGCCTGGCAATGGACAGCAAACTGTCATCTGAGGGCTCCTACTAACGCCATGCGAACGCACCATTGAGTTCCTTCATGGCATGCTGCCTGCGTGATGTGAGCCCTCACATCTCCTCGCCGATACATGCCGCAAGACTACCTAGGGATATTCTTGGTTTGGCAACCCTCTCGTGGTCTATGCCACGGATTGGATTGTGCTTGTCTTTTGTGTGCTTACAGCTTGCAGCTGTGAACACCCTTCTGGGTCGGCCCCGCGGTGTGCCTGTGGGAACGGGAGGCCTTTCTTTCGTGGTTGCTTCACTGGCCATCTGCCACGGACTACCCTGGACCGGTTCTGCCTGGATGTTCCAGCTTTGTCATCGGTAAAACGGCTAATCTTCCTTTCCTCTGCCCCCTTAGGTGGGCAGGTTGCCCGCTTCTATGTGCTACGACCGTGTGTAAACCCCTCGGACGTGAGTGTTCCCGTAACCCCCCTTTGACTCAAGGCCGCATTGCTCGAGGTGGTTAAGACCAGGAAAGCTGTAGAAGGGGTGGGAGTCCGGAGCTAAAGGTTTGGCTTTGCTTGGAACCCTACACGTAGGTAGCGGCCCCCTCTGGGACAGCCTGGAGGCGTAGGTGTGCTTGGTGCTGTCTCTCTCTTCTATAGCATTCCCCAGACCCCTCTGAAGGCTGTGTACAGACAGCCTGAATGAAAGTGAGTAGCATCACATCTTTCATTCGATGGCGCTCAAGACTTCAGAAATGCTGCCACGGAGCTGTGGGGCCGCAGTTCTGCAGCAAGCAAAATCGCGCTTTAGAGCAGTTTTGGGTGCTCGCAATGAGAATGCCTCTTCGTCGCGATTCTAGGGGGGTCAAGGGGAAGGGAAAGGAAGAGAAGAGAAAAAACAGAAACAAACAAAAAAGACATGGAAATTAAGCAAAGAAAAAACAGAAGGGACAAAATAAAGAAGAGGAAAAAAAAATGGGAAGGGGACCCCCCTAGAATCTTGCTCCTTGAGGCATTTTCGTCGGAACGCTCACCCCAAAACTGCTCTAAAGCGCGATTTTGCTTGCTGCAGAACTGCGGCCCCACAGCTCCGTGGCAGCATTTCTGAAGTCTTGAGCGCCATCGAATGAAAGATGTGATGCTGCTCACTTTCATTCAGGCTGTCTGTACACAGCCTTCAGAGGGGTCTGGGGAATGCTATAGAAGAGAGAGTCTGGGATTTTTAGCAACCTGGCAGTGTTGCGAGGGTTTGAGTGCGGCAGGATGCTGCGCGGAACTTGCCAGCCTCGGCCTTGGCAATCTTGGTAAAGGAGCTCTGTGGAGACTTGCCAGCGCCCTCCTCCTGTCCAAACATGAGCCCAGCATGAGCCCATGAGTCCCACATGCGCCCAGATGAGTCCCACATGAGCCCAGATGAGTCCCACATGAGCCCAGCATGAGCCCAGATGAGTCACACATGACCCCAGCATGAGTCCCACATGAGCCCAGCATGGTGCGTCGAGCATCGGCGGGCGGGCTGCGGGCGGGGTCAGATGCACCAGCCGGCAGGATGAGCCTAGATGAGCCCAACATGAGCCCAGCATGAGCCCAGCATGAGCCCAGATGAGTCCAACATGAGTCCAGCATGAGCCCAGATGAGTCCAACATGAGCCCAGCATGAGCCCAGCATGAGCCCAAATTCCACACGAGGTGGCGGGAGCGACGGTGGGGCGAGTCTCCGAGGGCGGTGAGCATCAGCGGGCGGGCATCAATGAGCATCAGTCGGCCGCATCTGCCGGGCAGTCCGTGAAATCCGGGCGGCCTGCGGGGGCTTGCGTGCCATCAGCCGGTGGGCCAAATGAGCATCCGCGGGCACGGCGGGCAGATGAGCATCAGCGGGAGGGCAGATGAGCATCAGTGGGCGGGCGGATGAGCATCAGCGGGCGGGCAGATGAGCATCAGCGGGCACAAAAACTATACCACCAAGCAAAAGGGGCCTGCAACCCCCATTGTGGGAGCTCTGCCATGGGACTTTGTTGGGTTCAACCCAGACCCGCCAGAACTGGAGCTGGGCCTGGAGGCCAGACTGGAGGGCCTGCAGGCTGATGAGCATCAGCAGGCGCAGATGAGCATCTAGTGAGCCGGATGAGCCACGCAGCTCCTCAGCTCGGAGCAAGTACAAAACAATAAAACATGCCAAAAAACATGCAGGAACACGGCTCGCACACAGTCTGCACTTCGATACCTGGGAAGTGGATTTAGGGGCAACGGTCAGGATCATCCACTTCATACTTCCCAGGCTCCACCCAGCGACAATCTCCCAGCGAGCGAGGTTGATGAATAGGGACCTGAGAGGGTGTGTTGGAGGAGTTTCTAGGGGCTAAACGGCGTGGGCTTGTAGCCACGGGCTCAAATTCTCGACCCTACTCCTGTAGGAACTCCTACACCCCTCCCCAGTGGACAACGCACTCACTTGATACCGGGGATATTGTTTGGGGTAGAGCAAACCACTCCCGATGCTCCAGTCCACCTGAATGCCAGGCGGAAACGTTCACGACGCAGTACCCTTCCAGCATTCACACAAGGCAAACAACCAGCGCATGAGCTGCAATGCACTGGAGTTTTCCGGCGGTTGGCCTTTTTCTGCCCATATGCTTTCGCCGTACTAGACGGCAGTTGTGTCGGAAATGGAGCCAGGTGCTCCAAACTCTGCAGCTTGAAGGTAGGGCATTCTTTTAAAAATCTCGGCTTCTGTAACGATGGAGGTGCCTTTTGAGTCGTCACTCTTTCGAGGAGAACAAGCTCCACATCCACGTCCATCTCTCGAGGTTTGCCTTTCAGTTCTCGCACCTGTCCAAAGTGCCGTGTCAAGTTCTTGCAATTCTTCTCGCTCACCACCCGGCAGAACCAATTCAGTACCATCGCAGACCATGGGTTAGGTTTCTGAAATTTGCTCTGGGATGCGTTTGCCTTTGCTGCAACTCCCAATGTTCTCACGACATCCGTCTGGTTCGCCGCACGATTCTGGTTCTTAACCTGCACGAAGCGAACAAAAGGCTTCGTGGCCGTGCAATTCTTGGTATGCTGAGCCGCTCGAAGCAGGATGATGTCAGCTCCCTGCGCACTGGGTCCGTTGACCAGCACGACTGTTTGCTGGGAAGCAAGCGCATCAAGAATCTCCACGAATGTATTCTCTGGAATGCCTTCCATATCCTGATTGTCCACTGGAGGCATAGCATACGGCAGATGCTTCAGGGTAGCTCGATTGCCTGTCAGCACTTCTGAGAAGCGCCTCTGGGCCTCGGCCACCACGAGTTCCAGTGACAGTCCGTCCTTTGGAAGAATGGCCGGAACTTCGAATGCAGCAAGCAGCATCTGCTTCAGAGCCTCAGAGGAGTCGAAAGTGGTTGTTGAGAAATATGACTTGCTGCCGGTGGGGGCGTGGATTGCTGCAGCTTGTTGAGAATCTGGAATAGCCACGAGTCCTAGTGTCACACACCTCCTGGCAACTTCAGGTTCTGGAATATCTTTGCTTTCCAGAAGCGAAGGGTGCATCAGCAGCTTCAAAGCGCAATCGGCATGATCACGGATGCACGTCACGCTCTGCAGGCGATTGAGCATTCTGTACTTGCTCGGCACCAAATAGCTTGTCAAATGAGGACTACGCTTCCATGCGTCACGCACGGTCTCTTTTGCAACGTTTGCGGGTTTCTTGTTCACCCATCGCGCGACCTCCTCCACTAACAAGACTGCAGTCCGTGCGTTGCTGAGATATGCCTTCATAGATTTGACCTCCATCAAGTCGTCGTATCTCACTGCACAAGTTTCAAGGGGGAGCATTGCTTCACATAGGGCACGCCCGAAGGTTGCGTCTTTCACGCTGCCGACGAAGACTAGGCAAACTTGCTCTGGCTTTGTCGACACTTCCACAGATGGCTGATATGCCACAGTGCCTGCACCTGCAGTGCCTGCCATGACCAATTGGCTCTTATTTTTGCAAAACTGCTGCATGTGCTTGTATATGTCCTCTTGTTGCGCCGCCACTCCACGTGCAAAATCGAGGCATGTTCCAATCTCATCGATTACAAATACCACATTGCCAAGATCGTCTGGATCAGGGTGCTCCAGCCTTAGCTTCAGGTACGGCCAGGTATGGAGCAGATACGTCTCAGAACCTGAATCCTAGGCACTAACATCTCACTGCGTGCCAAGAAACCATTGAGTAACAATACCCCCTGGGTCTCCCAAAGCCGACTTGATGCACTTCTTGAATGTGTTCATGACCTTGGCTTTGCACCGGTCATCGCGATCATCTTTGCTTTGGGCTTGGCTGATCTCTTGCACCTCCTCGGCACTGACGGTCATAGTGAACACCCGAACAGTATCGCCTTGATCGGCTTGCAGTAGGATAGCCGGCTTCATCACAGCTAGCAAAGTCTTTCCACTGCCACTTTCTCCGTGGAAGGTTGGGATACAACTCTTGCCTTCGGAGTTCATAAACAGAATCTCTGAGCTATGCGTGCCATTGATGCTTATCTTCAGCATCTGCGCGTCTGGGACGTAGCCACATGGGGGGAAACTTGTCGGACGGCCATATACCCACACCTTGTTTTGATAGTTGTACTGGACCTTCGCCTCGTCGTTCACGAGGTCACGAAATGTCAACGCCTTTCAGCGCACGGGCTGCCATGAAAGATGCCAATTGACGTGACACTGAGCAAAACAGGCCCGCCAAAAGAAGCGTGACTAGCGCATGCCAAAGTGACCGAAGGGTCACTTAAGGATTGAACCGCCTCGAGCACGGTCTTTTCGATGCTGCGATCATCTAGCCCCCAGCGCTGGAGATCTTGGCTTGTGATGTTCAGCAGGGTAGGGCCGCTCGTCTTCAGCACTCCAAGCGCCTCAAACAAACGAAAGTGCACACAGTGACAAACTGAAGGATATCTCAGACAGCTTCGCAAGTGCCAAACCAGGAAAAAGAATGGCTGGCACAAACGAAATTTGCACCCCTGGCCTGTTGGATCGCCGCAGCGTCGTACTTGGCAGAAACCAGTTTTGCCGCAGTCCATGCAGCTACTTGCTTTGGCCCGTAGCTCTTCACATCACTCCTGGTTGCGTTGCAGGCCTGCTCCAACACCTGGGCCAGGCGGCACAGCTCAGACGGCGATCGGCAAGGACATACAGCGTGCGGCCGAGCGACCGATGTGACATCCACATCCTGAAGAGCTGAACTCATCACACTGTTTGCATCCAGCTCGACCAGCGCCGACAGCATGTCACCTGCCAGCGCCGTCCCCGTCACATCTGGCTAACTTTCCCACAGCTCCGAGGCCGCCGCCGACCATCTTGATCCGACCCTGTGCAGGAGCAACCCGTGCTATGGCGACAACTTCAATGAACAGCCTGGCCTGGTCGTCCTGTAGCTTTTCGAGCTGCTTCTTGATTACATCGATGGCCTCGGCTTTCTAGGTTGCCAAAAGAAAGTCAAACAGGGACCCTGAACGGCAGGCACCCTCCAAAACACAACGTGGGCGAGCGTCTGCTTGCAAGAGGTCTTTGTCCTTCAGCTGCAGCTCGACCAGCGCCGACAGCATGTCACCTGCCAGCGCCGTCCCCGCCACATTTGGCTAACTTTCCCACAGCTCCGAGGCCGCCGCCGACCATCTTGATCCGACCCTGTGCAGGAGCAACCCGTGCTATGGCGACAACTTCAATGAACAGCCTGGCCTGGTCGTCCTGTAGCTTTTCGAGCTGCTTCTTGATTACATCGATGGCCTCGGCTTTCTAGGTTGCCAAAAGAAAGTCAAACAGGGACCCTGAACGGCAGGCACCCTCCAAAACACAACGTGGGCGAGCGTCTGCTTGCAAGAGGTCTTTGTCCTTCAGCTGCAGCTCGACCAGCGCCGACAGCATGTCACCTGCCAGCGCCGTCCCCGCCACATTTGGCTAACTTTCCCACAGCTCCGAGGCCGCCGCCGACCATCTTGATCCGACCCTGTGCAGGAGCAACCCGTGCTGTGGACATCCATCTACGCTCCGAAGACCCCGGGCCTCATCGTCAGTGCCTGCATTGCGAAGCTTCAGTTTGGGTTGTCTAATGGCCTCAGGTTGCTCCAAGACTGCGGCTAGGCTGCCCGGAAGCAACGGCACAGCTGAAAGTCAAGCGGCGGCCGCCGCTTTCAGCTTCTTGATGCTCTCTATCAGGCGCCTCCGTGGCCCTTTTGCCAACTCGAGGTTGTCGAGCTCTGCCACGCCCATCGCCAGCAGGTCCTTCCCGGCGTACTCTTGACCCGCAAACTCGCTGATGTCCTCGGAGCACGTTGGCGCATTGAATACCGCAAGCAGGCACAACGCTCGTCATCTCCGACCTTGGGGTCAAAGTCTCGAACCCATCCAGTCACCTACAAGAGACGCTTCAGAGAAAGCCAGGGCAGGACCAAAGGGAACGACATAAGAACGACGCAAGGCACCTCATTTGCCTTGTAGCTCTGAACCGCATCGTGTTGTTTGGCCAGCTGGCTCACCTTACAGCAAAGCAGGGGTTTCACTCCGAACCGACAAACCATTCCTGCCTTATCATCTTCTTTGTCGTCAGCTTCACCAGGTTGGACATCAGCCTGAACTTCTCCGGATGAGCTTACCACTTTATTCTCAGTTTTGCCAGCCTTGCTCGCTCTGCGTGCAATGAGCGGCTTACGTGCCCACGCGCCCACAAGATGCCTCGCTTGGCTTTATGACTTGATGCTCTTCGCCACTCCATGCTGTCGCATCCCGCCTTGCACATGGCACGGCCCGGACAACAGCAGCCCGCACTGTCTGCACGGTTTGCCTGAAGCTGCTCAGGATCCTTTCTAACACTGGCTGAGCAGCGCCTGTCTTAGGCCCTGGCTGACACGCCCAAAACAACGCCAGCAGCACCAGCACGCGACCAATCTTGCACGACGCTGGAGTCCTTGCCATGGCTGCGCTCGTCCTACAGCTGTCCTCAAGAAGGCTCGAGCAGATGCGACTGAATGAAATCAAAGGAGCAATGATCCACGACTCCCTTCTGTTATCTTCGGTTTGGCTGCTGGTTCAGAAGTATCTGGGTGCCACACGCAGAGTGCGTTGACAAAGGACACACGATATCGCCTGCCAGGACAGCGAGATCCAGAAGGATGCATGGCAAGCATCTCTCTCCTTGCACAAGACCCAGACAAAACAATTAGCACTTGCAACACTGATGGCCCTGCCTGTCAACACTAGTTTTTGCTATGTATCTGTTGTCAAAACCAGAACAACTCCTGCAAAACATGCCATGCGCAGCCATGAGTCATGCCAAAATCATGCCAAAAACACGACAAAACCGGGGGACATGAAAACACGCACATCCACTTCAAGCACTACGAAAAACCGCAAAAACGTGTCAACGCACGGCCGCACGTTGCAAGGGTGCGAACTCCGTGACCGCATCGCTTGCTACTCATGAACTCATGTAAAGCTCTTGCACAACTCATGTATAACTCATGTTCAACTCATGTGGAATCATGTTCAACTCATGTAGAACTCATGTGGACTCATGTTCAACTCATGTAGAACTCATGAATTCATGTTCAACTCATGTACAGCTCATGTGCACTCATGTTCAACTCATGTAGAGCTCATGTGGACTCATGTTCAACTCATGTAGAGCTCATGTGGACTCATGTTCAACTCATGTAGAGCTCATGTGGACTCACGTTCAACTCATGTAGAGCTCATGTGGACTCATGTTCAACTCATGTAGAGCTCATGTGGACTCACGTTCAACTCATGTAGAGCTCATGTGGACTCATGTTCAACTCATGTAGAGCTCACGTTGGCGTCTGCTTACAGCACGCTCAACAGATCGGAGCTAGTAGCTCGGCTGGCCCCGACGTCGAGGTGCCGCAGGTTGAAGTGCTGCGTGCCCGCGTCCAGCAGCCACACCCGGCCGCGGAGCGTCAGCCCCTGGCAGCTCGCGTAGGTGATGGCGTGGCACAGCCGCGTATGCCGCAGCAGCTCCGCGTGGGTGAACTGCTGCCCGCCGTCCAGCGCGACGCGCTCCGCACCCACCTCGGCCACCCGCACAAAGGTGCCTTTGGCCACCTTGCCGCCGGCGCCCACCAGCCGCAGTCCGGGCCAAACTCGCATCTTCTGCGGGGCGTTGGTCGTGGGCGCGCCCGGCGCCTGGTGCTCGATCACGACAGCGTCCGCGGGCGCCAGGAGCTTGTTCTCCCGCTCGTTGACCTGCACACGGTGCGCGTGCGAGAGCACCAGGCACACGTCGGGGTGCGTGCCCGGCGGCCGCGGGAACTCGCGGCGCGCCACCCTCACGGCCTCGGCCAGGGGCACCTCCTCGGGCTCGCCCACCCGAAGCCAGCTGATGAACCGGAAGATGCGCTCGTCCGAGCGGCGGTTCTCCGTGAGCTCGTGGCAGCAGCCGCCCGCCAGGTCCCGCAGCAGGTCGCTGTCCTTCAGCGGCCGCTCCACGCGGGCCCCGGCAAAGCTGTCGAGCACCGCCGGCAGCTGCCGGAAATCGCCCATGAGCAGGAAGCGCACGCCGCGATCCAGCGCCACGCAGGCCACGTCGGCCCAGAGCCCCGTGTCCATCTGCGTGACTTCCTCGATCACCAGCCAGTCAAGCTGGCAGCGGCCGTTGCGCACCGTGCGACGCACCCAGTGGTCGGCAGTCTGAGCCCCCAAGCCCAAGTTCTGCGCCGCGCAGTGGGTCTTCGAGACCAGCTGCACCACGTCGCCGGCCTCCCGCAGCTGCTCCACGATGCGCCTCGCGAGGTGCGTCTTCCCCGTGCCGGGCAGCCCGGTGAGCAGCAGGCTGCGCCCCTGCAGGCAGTGGGCCAGCGGGTCGTCCACTTGCTCCCAGCCGCGGCGCTGCGGCGGTCCAGCCTGGATCTCCGGCTCGAAGTGGCGCCCCCGCAGCTGCTCGACCTGCTCACACCTGTAGACCGGCGTGCCGTCGGGGTGGCGCAGGCGCGTGAGCCGCTCCACCGCAGGCCAGTACTTCTTGGGCAGGTCCTGCAAGCCCAGGCAGTCGGTTTTCAGGAACTTGAGGTAGCGCATCGGCACCTCCGCCAGCATCTGTCGAATGCGGGCCACGGCGCAGTACTCCGCCGCCATGACGAAGTCCCAGGCGGGCCGGTGCGAGGCGTTGCTGTAGAGCTGCGTCACGAAGATGTGGTCCCAGTGCGTTTTGCCGGCCGCGTCCACGAAGGTCTGTCGGTACTGGCAACCGTGGCCATCGAGCTGGTTGTTCGAGGTGCGCATCAGGTAGACGAGGTCCACGTTGCGCGCCCACAGGCCGATCAAAGCATTGACGCTCAGCTTGGCCAGGTGCTCCTCGGGCCAGGCCTGCTCCATCTTGCGAAGCGCCCAGGCAAGGCAGCTCGGGTCCACGTGCGCGGTGGCGTCCAGGCTCCAGAGGAAGTCCTGCCACGTCGCAACGCCGGCCTCCAGCATGTGGGCGCACGCCGGCTTGGCGTACCAGCCCTCGCCCACGTACGGCAGCCGGCTCAGCAAAGCCACGCGCCCGTCCTTCCGCAGCCTGACATAGGTCAAGTCCGCCAGGCAGCCCTCCCGCGCCTCCTGCACCGAATCCAGTGGGCAGAACACTGGCAGAGGGAAGCGCGCGTTGGCCAGCCCGTTCTTGCGGCAGCGCACCACATCCACGCCCCAGCAGACCCGGTCCTCGTTCCCTCTCCAGCGCAGTCGCGTGCGAATTCTCCAGGCTGGTCTTGAGCCGGTGGCACTCGTGGCAGAGCGCCTGGAACTCCTGGATCTGCCCGCGGAAGGCGGTGCTCACCGGCACCACGTGGTCGAACTCGCAGGCGCAGAGCGCGATGGGCGCGCCACACAGTTTGCAGGCGCCGCCCTGGGAGGCCAAGATCTGCTCCCGCTGCTGCGGCACCTCGCGCTGCGCCCGGAGCAGATGCAAGAAGACCTCGTTGGTGGCGCCGGCCAGCCTCTGGCCGCGGTACTTCAGCCCGAAGCGCTCCGTCCACGCCTGCAGCACCTCGGCATCCTCGGGCAGCTCGCAGATGACGCAGTCCGCCTCGCCCGCCCGCAGTCGCAGGCTGCGCCACTCGCAGAGGCTGCGCATGGCCACCCTGCGGCAGTGCCCCACGGCCAGCAGCGCGCCCCGCGCCGCCCGCAGGTCCCGCGTCCAGAAGTGACCTGCGCGGAGCTCGCCGTCCCACTCTCGCCATGCGCCGAACTCGGGCACCGTGGACTCCCGCCGCTCCGACCGGAAGCGGGGCCGCAGGCGCTCCGCGTCGTCGCACTGGAAGACGCTGCGAGCGTTCTTGTAGAAGAAGGCGTGCCCCTGCCAGGCCGTGAAGGCCACGGCGCGCGCCTCCTTCACGGCCGGCTGGTAAGAGTCCAGGAGCTGCCCCTGGCAGTTCACGAAGAGCATCGGCGCGCCCCGCCAGACGCAGAACTTGCGGATCTCCTCGGGCGTGATGCCCCGCTCCTGCCAGCCGCGGTCGCAGATGGTGTCGAAGTCGGAGAGCACCTCCTCCAGCGGCAGCCGCAGCAGCTCCGCCAGCTGCCGGGCCGCGCAGAGCTTGTCGTCCCGCTGCTCGAAGGCCGAGGCCAGGATCTCGTCGCCCTCGAAGAGCTGGTAAGAGACCTCGCGCAGGGCACCGAGCGGCTGCCGCAGGCTCGTTTCCACCAGCGTGCGGTTGTCGACGTGCTGCGTGGTCTGCGAGCTCAGCGTCCACTCCCGCGACCCGTCGAGGTGGTAGACCTCCTCCGAGAGCTCCATGATCACGTCGTCCTCCGAGGGGTCGCCCAGCCTTGACAGCACCGCCTGCTTGACGTTGCGGGCCACCTGCCCTTCCGACAGTCCGTCGTTCTGCCTTTGCAGCCCGACGTTCAGCGAGGTCATGGGCAGGTAATCCAGCCGCTCGTAGGCCCGGCCGTTCTTGCGGCGGCCGCGGATCCGCACCGGCACGTGGGCCAGCCACTCCGTGTACTTCTCCTTGAAGAAGGCCTTGCCCAGCTTCGTAAGGTGGTAGTTGCCGTCCGGCGCCAATGTGCGCGCCAGCTTCTTCACGCCGCTGCGCAGCAGGATGTAATCGGAGGCGCCCTCGCGGATCAGCGGCTGCGACTCGTCGAACTGACGGCTCGGCGGCCGGCGGCCTGCAAGTTGGTAGTACAGCTGCCCGGCTCGCGTCAGGGCGCCGTTTGGGCGCGTGAGCTGGGCGGACTGGCCGCCCTGCCCGCGGAGGGGCAGAATCTGGGAGCCTAGCGCCGAGGCCCTTGGCCTGACCCCGGCTTCGGCCGCACGGCGGATCTGCTCGCGCTGTTGCGCCCAACTCATTCCTTTTATTCTTTCTGGTCCGGCAAAAAAAAATCCGTCCGAGCAGATTTCGGGTCCGAAAACGAATTAGCGGGGGGGTGGCTGATGTCTCAGAAACGAATTCGGCGGCTGCTGTAAGCTGCCCCTGCCGCGGGGGGCCTTTGGGGGCAGGCCTGTGCTGCGGGCGCCCGCCACCCTTTCTTCTAGACAGCGGTCAGCCGAAGGAGCACTCGACCTTGGCCGGCTCGCTCTCCTGCAGCTGCAGGTCGGTGACCTCCAGCAGCAGGCCGCACTGGGGATTCATCACCCACACCTGGCGCAGCTCGAGGCGCACCCTAGCGCTGCGGCCCGCAAGGTCGCCCGGCTCCTGCAGCGGGTATCCTTCCGTGTCCCAGAAGCGCACCCTGTCCCAGTTGAGCTTGGTCTTCAGGAAAGGGGTGCCCCGCTGGCTGGTCTTGAGGCACGATTGCAGCCGCGCCTCCAGCTCGGCGGGCGAGAGGCTGCGGCCGAACACTTTGGGGTCCCTGCCCGACTTGGCCACGAGCTTGGACGCCAGCTCCTTTTCCACAACCTTGAAGTGCTGCTCGACGGACTCTGTAGAAGGGGTGGGAGTCCGGAGCTAAAGGTTTGGCTTTGCTTGGAACCCTACACGTAGGCAGCGGCCCCCTCTGGGACAGCCTGGAGGCGTAGGTGTGCTTGGTGCTGTCTCTCTCTTCTATAGCATTCCCCAGACCCCTCTGAAGGCTGTGTACAGACAGCCTGAATGAAAGTGAGCAGCATCACATCTTTCATTCGATGGCGCTCAAGACTTCAGAAATGCTGCCACGGAGCTGTGGGGCCGCAGTTCTGCAGCAAGCAAAATCGCGCTTTAGAGCAGTTTTGGGTGCTCGCAATGAGAATGCCTCTTCGTCGCGATTCTAGGGGGGTCAAGGGGAAGGGAAAGGAAGAGAAGAGAAAAAACAGAAACAAACAAAAAAGACATGGAAATTAAGCAAAGAAAAAACAGAAGGGACAAAATAAAGAAGAGGAAAAAAAAATGGGAAGGGGACCCCCCTAGAATCTTGCTCCTTGAGGCATTTTCGTCGGAACGCTCACCCCAAAACTGCTCTAAAGCGCGATTTTGCTTGCTGCAGAACTGCGGCCCCACAGCTCCGTGGCAGCATTTCTGAAGTCTTGAGCGCCATCGAATGAAAGATGTGATGCTGCTCACTTTCATTCAGGCTGTCTGTACACAGCCTTCAGAGGGGTCTGGGGAATGCTATAGAAGAGAGAGTCTGGGATTTTTAGCAACCTGGCAGTGTTGCGAGGGTTTGAGTGCGGCAGGATGCTGCGCGGAACTTGCCAGCCTCGGCCTTGGCAATCTTGGTAAAGGAGCTCTGTGGAGACTTGCCAGCGCCCTCCTCCTGTCCAAACATGAGCCCAGCATGAGCCCATGAGTCCCACATGCGCCCAGATGAGTCCCACATGAGCCCAGATGAGTCCCACATGAGCCCAGCATGAGCCCAGATGAGTCACACATGACCCCAGCATGAGTCCCACATGAGCCCAGCATGGTGCGTCGAGCATCGGCGGGCGGGCTGCGGGCGGGGTCAGATGCACCAGCCGGCAGGATGAGCCTAGATGAGCCCAACATGAGCCCAGCATGAGCCCAGCATGAGCCCAGATGAGTCCAACATGAGTCCAGCATGAGCCCAGATGAGTCCAACATGAGCCCAGCATGAGCCCAGCATGAGCCCAAATTCCACACGAGGTGGCGGGAGCGACGGTGGGGCGAGTCTCCGAGGGCGGTGAGCATCAGCGGGCGGGCATCAATGAGCATCAGTCGGCCGCATCTGCCGGGCAGTCCGTGAAATCCGGGCGGCCTGCGGGGGCTTGCGTGCCATCAGCCGGTGGGCCAAATGAGCATCCGCGGGCACGGCGGGCAGATGAGCATCAGCGGGAGGGCAGATGAGCATCAGTGGGCGGGCGGATGAGCATCAGCGGGCGGGCAGATGAGCATCAGCGGGCACAAAAACTATACCACCAAGCAAAAGGGGCCTGCAACCCCCATTGTGGGAGCTCTGCCATGGGACTTTGTTGGGTTCAACCCAGACCCGCCAGAACTGGAGCTGGGCCTGGAGGCCAGACTGGAGGGCCTGCAGGCTGATGAGCATCAGCAGGCGCAGATGAGCATCTAGTGAGCCGGATGAGCCACGCAGCTCCTCAGCTCGGAGCAAGTACAAAACAATAAAACATGCCAAAAAACATGCAGGAACACGGCTCGCACACAGTCTGCACTTCGATACCTGGGAAGTGGATTTAGGGGCAACGGTCAGGATCATCCACTTCATACTTCCCAGGCTCCACCCAGCGACAATCTCCCAGCGAGCGAGGTTGATGAATAGGGACCTGAGAGGGTGTGTTGGAGGAGTTTCTAGGGGCTAAACGGCGTGGGCTTGTAGCCACGGGCTCAAATTCTCGACCCTACTCCTGTAGGAACTCCTACACCCCTCCCCAGTGGACAACGCACTCACTTGATACCGGGGATATTGTTTGGGGTAGAGCAAACCACTCCCGATGCTCCAGTCCACCTGAATGCCAGGCGGAAACGTTCACGACGCAGTACCCTTCCAGCATTCACACAAGGCAAACAACCAGCGCATGAGCTGCAATGCACTGGAGTTTTCCGGCGGTTGGCCTTTTTCTGCCCATATGCTTTCGCCGTACTAGACGGCAGTTGTGTCGGAAATGGAGCCAGGTGCTCCAAACTCTGCAGCTTGAAGGTAGGGCATTCTTTTAAAAATCTCGGCTTCTGTAACGATGGAGGTGCCTTTTGAGTCGTCACTCTTTCGAGGAGAACAAGCTCCACATCCACGTCCATCTCTCGAGGTTTGCCTTTCAGTTCTCGCACCTGTCCAAAGTGCCGTGTCAAGTTCTTGCAATTCTTCTCGCTCACCACCCGGCAGAACCAATTCAGTACCATCGCAGACCATGGGTTAGGTTTCTGAAATTTGCTCTGGGATGCGTTTGCCTTTGCTGCAACTCCCAATGTTCTCACGACATCCGTCTGGTTCGCCGCACGATTCTGGTTCTTAACCTGCACGAAGCGAACAAAAGGCTTCGTGGCCGTGCAATTCTTGGTATGCTGAGCCGCTCGAAGCAGGATGATGTCAGCTCCCTGCGCACTGGGTCCGTTGACCAGCACGACTGTTTGCTGGGAAGCAAGCGCATCAAGAATCTCCACGAATGTATTCTCTGGAATGCCTTCCATATCCTGATTGTCCACTGGAGGCATAGCATACGGCAGATGCTTCAGGGTAGCTCGATTGCCTGTCAGCACTTCTGAGAAGCGCCTCTGGGCCTCGGCCACCACGAGTTCCAGTGACAGTCCGTCCTTTGGAAGAATGGCCGGAACTTCGAATGCAGCAAGCAGCATCTGCTTCAGAGCCTCAGAGGAGTCGAAAGTGGTTGTTGAGAAATATGACTTGCTGCCGGTGGGGGCGTGGATTGCTGCAGCTTGTTGAGAATCTGGAATAGCCACGAGTCCTAGTGTCACACACCTCCTGGCAACTTCAGGTTCTGGAATATCTTTGCTTTCCAGAAGCGAAGGGTGCATCAGCAGCTTCAAAGCGCAATCGGCATGATCACGGATGCACGTCACGCTCTGCAGGCCATTGAGCATTCTGTACTTGCTCGGCACCAAATAGCTTGTCAAATGAGGACTACGCTTCCATGCGTCACGCACGGTCTCTTTTGCAACGTTTGCGGGTTTCTTGTTCACCCATCGCGCGACCTCCTCCACTAACAAGACTGCAGTCCGTGCGTTGCTGAGATATGCCTTCATAGATTTGACCTCCATCAAGTCGTCGTATCTCACTGCACAAGTTTCAAGGGGGAGCATTGCTTCACATAGGGCACGCCCGAAGGTTGCGTCTTTCACGCTGCCGACGAAGACTAGGCAAACTTGCTCTGGCTTTGTCGACACTTCCACAGATGGCTGATATGCCACAGTGCCTGCACCTGCAGTGCCTGCCATGACCAATTGGCTCTTATTTTTGCAAAACTGCTGCATGTGCTTGTATATGTCCTCTTGTTGCGCCGCCACTCCACGTGCAAAATCGAGGCATGTTCCAATCTCATCGATTACAAATACCACATTGCCAAGATCGTCTGGATCAGGGTGCTCCAGCCTTAGCTTCAGGTACGGCCAGGTATGGAGCAGATACGTCTCAGAACCTGAATCCTAGGCACTAACATCTCACTGCGTGCCAAGAAACCATTGAGTAACAATACCCCCTGGGTCTCCCAAAGCCGACTTGATGCACTTCTTGAATGTGTTCATGACCTTGGCTTTGCACCGGTCATCGCGATCATCTTTGCTTTGGGCTTGGCTGATCTCTTGCACCTCCTCGGCACTGACGGTCATAGTGAACACCCGAACAGTATCGCCTTGATCGGCTTGCAGTAGGATAGCCGGCTTCATCACAGCTAGCAAAGTCTTTCCACTGCCACTTTCTCCGTGGAAGGTTGGGATACAACTCTTGCCTTCGGAGTTCATAAACAGAATCTCTGAGCTATGCGTGCCATTGATGCTTATCTTCAGCATCTGCGCGTCTGGGACGTAGCCACATGGGGGGAAACTTGTCGGACGGCCATATACCCACACCTTGTTTTGATAGTTGTACTGGACCTTCGCCTCGTCGTTCACGAGGTCACGAAATGTCAACGCCTTTCAGCGCACGGGCTGCCATGAAAGATGCCAATTGACGTGACACTGAGCAAAACAGGCCCGCCAAAAGAAGCGTGACTAGCGCATGCCAAAGTGGCCGAAGGGTCACTTAAGGATTGAACCGCCTCGAGCACGGTCTTTTCGATGCTGCGATCATCTAGCCCCCAGCGCTGGAGATCTTGGCTTGTGATGTTCAGCAGGGTAGGGCCGCTCGTCTTCAGCACTCCAAGCGCCTCAAACAAACGAAAGTGCACACAGTGACAAACTGAAGGATATCTCAGACAGCTTCGCAAGTGCCAAACCAGGAAAAAGAATGGCTGGCACAAACGAAATTTGCACCCCTGGCCTGTTGGATCGCCGCAGCGTCGTACTTGGCAGAAACCAGTTTTGCCGCAGTCCATGCAGCTACTTGCTTTGGCCCGTAGCTCTTCACATCACTCCTGGTTGCGTTGCAGGCCTGCTCCAACACCTGGGCCAGGCGGCACAGCTCAGACGGCGATCGGCAAGGACATACAGCGTGCGGCCGAGCGACCGATGTGACATCCACATCCTGAAGAGCTGAACTCATCACACTGTTTGCATCCAGCTCGACCAGCGCCGACAGCATGTCACCTGCCAGCGCCGTCCCCGTCACATCTGGCTAACTTTCCCACAGCTCCGAGGCCGCCGCCGACCATCTTGATCCGACCCTGTGCAGGAGCAACCCGTGCTATGGCGACAACTTCAATGAACAGCCTGGCCTGGTCGTCCTGTAGCTTTTCGAGCTGCTTCTTGATTACATCGATGGCCTCGGCTTTCTAGGTTGCCAAAAGAAAGTCAAACAGGGACCCTGAACGGCAGGCACCCTCCAAAACACAACGTGGGCGAGCGTCTGCTTGCAAGAGGTCTTTGTCCTTCAGCTGCAGCTCGACCAGCGCCGACAGCATGTCACCTGCCAGCGCCGTCCCCGCCACATTTGGCTAACTTTCCCACAGCTCCGAGGCCGCCGCCGACCATCTTGATCCGACCCTGTGCAGGAGCAACCCGTGCTGTGGACATCCATCTACGCTCCGAAGACCCCGGGCCTCATCGTCAGTGCCTGCATTGCGAAGCTTCAGTTTGGGTTGTCTAATGGCCTCAGGTTGCTCCAAGACTGCGGCTAGGCTGCCCGGAAGCAACGGCACAGCTGAAAGTCAAGCGGCGGCCGCCGCTTGCAGCTTCTTGATGCTCTCTATCAGGCGCCTCCGTGGCCCTTTTGCCAACTCGAGGTTGTCGAGCTCTGCCACGCCCATCGCCAGCAGGTCCTTCCCGGCGTACTCTTGACCCGCAAACTCGCTGATGTCCTCGGAGCACGTTGGCGCATTGAATACCGCAAGCAGGCACAACGCTCGTCATCTCCGACCTTGGGGTCAAAGTCTCGAACCCATCCAGTCACCTACAAGAGACGCTTCAGAGAAAGCCAGGGCAGGACCAAAGGGAACGACATAAGAACGACGCAAGGCACCTCATTTGCCTTGTAGCTCTGAACCGCATCGTGTTGTTTGGCCAGCTGGCTCACCTTACAGCAAAGCAGGGGTGTCACTCCGAACCGACAAACCATTCCTGCCTTATCATCTTCTTTGTCGTCAGCTTCACCAGGTTGGACATCAGCCTGAACTTCTCCGGATGAGCTTACCACTTTATTCTCAGTTTTGCCAGCCTTGCTCGCTCTGCGTGCAATGAGCGGCTTACGTGCCCACGCGCCCACAAGATGCCTCGCTTGGCTTTATGACTTGATGCTCTTCGCCACTCCATGCTGTCGCATCCCGCCTTGCACATGGCACGGCCCGGACAACAGCAGCCCGCACTGTCTGCACGGTTTGCCTGAAGCTGCTCAGGATCCTTTCTAACACTGGCTGAGCAGCGCCTGTCTTAGGCCCTGGCTGACACGCCCAAAACAACGCCAGCAGCACCAGCACGCGACCAATCTTGCACGACGCTGGAGTCCTTGCCATGGCTGCGCTCGTCCTACAGCTGTCCTCAAGAAGGCTCGAGCAGATGCGACTGAATGAAATCAAAGGAGCAATGATCCACGACTCCCTTCTGTTATCTTCGGTTTGGCTGCTGGTTCAGAAGTATCTGGGTGCCACACGCAGAGTGCGTTGACAAAGGACACACGATATCGCCTGCCAGGACAGCGAGATCCAGAAGGATGCATGGCAAGCATCTCTCTCCTTGCACAAGACCCAGACAAAACAATTAGCACTTGCAACACTGATGGCCCTGCCTGTCAACACTAGTTTTTGCTATGTATCTGTTGTCAAAACCAGAACAACTCCTGCAAAACATGCCATGCGCAGCCATGAGTCATGCCAAAATCATGCCAAAAACACGACAAAACCGGGGGACATGAAAACACGCACATCCACTTCAAGCACTACGAAAAACCGCAAAAACGTGTCAACGCACGGCCGCACGTTGCAAGGGTGCGAACTCCGTGACCGCATCGCTTGCTACTCATGAACTCATGTAAAGCTCTTGCACAACTCATGTATAACTCATGTTCAACTCATGTGGAATCATGTTCAACTCATGTAGAACTCATGTGGACTCATGTTCAACTCATGTAGAACTCATGAATTCATGTTCAACTCATGTACAGCTCATGTGCACTCATGTTCAACTCATGTAGAGCTCATGTGGACTCATGTTCAACTCATGTAGAGCTCATGTGGACTCATGTTCAACTCATGTAGAGCTCATGTGGACTCACGTTCAACTCATGTAGAGCTCATGTGGACTCATGTTCAACTCATGTAGAGCTCATGTGGACTCACGTTCAACTCATGTAGAGCTCATGTGGACTCATGTTCAACTCATGTAGAGCTCACGTTGGCGTCTGCTTACAGCACGCTCAACAGATCGGAGCTAGTAGCTCGGCTGGCCCCGACGTCGAGGTGCCGCAGGTTGAAGTGCTGCGTGCCCGCGTCCAGCAGCCACACCCGGCCGCGGAGCGTCAGCCCCTGGCAGCTCGCGTAGGTGATGGCGTGGCACAGCCGCGTATGCCGCAGCAGCTCCGCGTGGGTGAACTGCTGCCCGCCGTCCAGCGCGACGCGCTCCGCACCCACCTCGGCCACCCGCACAAAGGTGCCTTTGGCCACCTTGCCGCCGGCGCCCACCAGCCGCAGTCCGGGCCAAACTCGCATCTTCTGCGGGGCGTTGGTCGTGGGCGCGCCCGGCGCCTGGTGCTCGATCACGACAGCGTCCGCGGGCGCCAGGCGCTTGTTCTCCCGCTCGTTGACCTGCACACGGTGCACGTGCGAGAGCACCAGGCACACGTCGGGGTGCGTGCCCGGCGGCCGCGGGAACTCGCGGCGCGCCACCCTCACGGCCTCGGCCAGGGGCACCTCCTCGGGCTCGCCCACCCGAAGCCAGCTGATGAACCGGAAGATGCGCTCGTCCGAGCGGCGGTTCTCCGTGAGCTCGTGGCAGCAGCCGCCCGCCAGGTCCCGCAGCAGGTCGCTGTCCTTCAGCGGCCGCTCCACGCGGGCCCCGGCAAAGCTGTCGAGCACCGCCGGCAGCTGCCGGAAATCGCCCATGAGCAGGAAGCGCACACCGCGATCCAGCGCCACGCAGGCCACGTCGGCCCAGAGCCCCGTGTCCATCTGCGTGACTTCCTCGATCACCAGCCAGTCAAGCTGGCAGCGGCCGTTGCGCACCGTGCGACGCACCCAGTGGTCGGCAGTCTGAGCCCCCAAGCCCAAGTTCTGCGCCGCGCAGTGGGTCTTCGAGACCAGCTGCACCACGTCGCCGGCCTCCCGCAGCTGCTCCACGATGCGCCTCGCGAGGTGCGTCTTCCCCGTGCCGGGCAGCCCGGTGAGCAGCAGGCTGCGCCCCTGCAGGCAGTGGGCCAGCGGGTCGTCCACTTGCTCCCAGCCGCGGCGCTGCGGCGGTCCAGCCTGGATTTCCGGCTCGAAGTGGCGCCCCCGCAGCTGCTCGACCTGCTCACACCTGTAGACCGGCGTGCCGTCGGGGTGGCGCAGGCGCGTGAGCCGCTCCACCGCAGGCCAGTACTTCTTGGGCAGGTCCTGCAAGCCCAGGCAGTCGGTTTTCAGGAACTTGAGGTAGCGCATCGGCACCTCCGCCAGCATCTGTCGAATGCGGGCCACGGCGCAGTACTCCGCCGCCATGACGAAGTCCCAGGCGGGCCGGTGCGAGGCGTTGCTGTAGAGCTGCGTCACGAAGATGTGGTCCCAGTGCGTTTTGCCGGCCGCGTCCACGAAGGTCTGTCGGTACTGGCAACCGTGGCCATCGAGCTGGTTGTTCGAGGTGCGCATCAGGTAGACGAGGTCCACGTTGCGCGCCCACAGGCCGATCAAAGCATTGACGCTCAGCTTGGCCAGGTGCTCCTCGGGCCAGGCCTGCTCCATCTTGCGAAGCGCCCAGGCAAGCTAGCTCGGGTCCACGTGCGCGGTGGCGTCCAGGCTCCAGAGGAAGTCCTGCCACGTCGCAACGCCGGCCTCCAGCACGTGGGCGCACGCCGGCTTGGCGTACCAGCCCTCGCCCACGTACGGCAGCCGGCTCAGCAAAGCCACGCGCCCGTCCTTCCGCAGCCTGACATAGGTCAAGTCCGCCAGGCAGCCCTCCCGCGCCTCCTGCACCGAATCCAGTGGGCAGAACACTGGCAGAGGGAAGCGCGCGTTGGCCAGCCCGTTCTTGCGGCAGCGCACCACATCCACGCCCCAGCAGACCCGGTCCTCGTTCCACTTCTGCAGCCCGCAGACCAGCGGCGGCAGCCTCGGCGAGTTCACATAGGCCTCGCACGCCGCGGGGCTGAAGCGGCTCTCCAGCGCAGTCGCGCGCGAATTCTCCAGGCTGGTCTTGAGCCGGTGGCACTCGTGGCAGAGCGCCTGGAACTCCTGGATCTGCCCGCGGAAGGCGGTGCTCACCGGCACCACGTGGTCGAACTCGCAGGCGCAGAGCGCGATGGGCGCGCCACACAGTTTGCAGGCGCCGCCCTGGGAGGCCAAGATCTGCTCCCGCTGCTGCGGCACCTCGCGCTGCGCCCGGAGCAGATGCAAGAAGACCTCGTTGGTGGCGCCGGCCAGCCTCTGGCCGCGGTACTTCAGCCCGAAGCGCTCCGTCCACGCCTGCAGCACCTCGGCATCCTCGGGCAGCTCGCAGATGACGCAGTCCGCCTCGCCCGCCCGCAGTCGCAGGCTGCGCCACTCGCAGAGGCTGCGCATGGCCACCCTGGGGCAGTGCCCCACGGCCAGCAGCGCGCCCCGCGCCGCCCGCAGGTCCCGCGTCCAGAAGTGACCTGCGCGGAGCTCGCCGTCCCACTCTCGCCATGCGCCGAACTCGGGCACCGTGGACTCCCGCCGCTCCGACCGGAAGCGGGGCCGCAGGCGCTCCGCGTCGTCGCACTGGAAGACGCTGCGAGCGTTCTTGTAGAAGAAGGCGTGCCCCTGCCAGGCCGTGAAGGCCACGGCGCGCGCCTCCTTCACGGCCGGCTGGTAAGAGTCCAGGAGCTGCCCCTGGCAGTTCACGAAGAGCATCGGCGCGCCCCGCCAGACGCAGAACTTGCGGATCTCCTCGGGCGTGATGCCCCGCTCCTGCCAGCCGCGGTCGCAGATGGTGTCGAAGTCGGAGAGCACCTCCTCCAGCGGCAGCCGCAGCAGCTCCGCCAGCTGCCGGGCCGCGCAGAGCTTGTCGTCCCGCTGCTCGAAGGCTGAGGCCAGGATCTCGTCGCCCTTGAAGAGCTGGTAAGAGACCTCGCGCAGGGCACCGAGCGGCTGCCGCAGGCTCGTTTCCACCAGCGTGCGGTTGTCGACGTGCTGCGTGGTCTGCGAGCTCAGCGTCCACTCCCGCGACCCGTCGAGGTGGTAGACCTCCTCCGAGAGCTCCATGATCACGTCGTCCTCCGAGGGGTCGCCCAGCCTTGACAGCACCGCCTGCTTGACGTTGCGGGCCACCTGCCCTTCCGACAGTCCGTCGTTCTGCCTTTGCAGCCCGACGTTCAGCGAGGTCATGGGCAGGTAATCCAGCCGCTCGTAGGCCCGGCCGTTCTTGCGGCGGCCGCGGATCCGCACCGGCACGTGGGCCAGCCACTCCGTGTACTTCTCCTTGAAGAAGGCCTTGCCCAGCTTCGTAAGGTGGTAGTTGCCGTCCGGCGCCAATGTGCGCGCCAGCTTCTTCACGCCGCTGCGCAGCAGGATGTAATCGGAGGCGCCCTCGCGGATCAGCGGCTGCGACTCGTCGAACTGACGGCTCGGCGGCCGGCGGCCTGCAAGTTGGTAGTACAGCTGCCCGGCTCGCGTCAGGGCGCCGTTTGGGCGCGTGAGCTGGGCGGACTGGCCGCCCTGCCCGCGGAGGGGCAGAATCTGGGAGCCTAGCGCCGAGGCCCTTGGCCTGACCCCGGCTTCGGCCGCACGGCGGATCTGCTCGCGCTGTTGCGCCCAACTCATTCCTTTTATTCTTTCTGGTCCGGCAAAAAAAAATCCGTCCGAGCAGATTTCGGGTCCGAAAACGAATTAGCGGGGGGGTGGCTGATGTCTCAGAAACGAATTCGGCGGCTGCTGTAAGCTGCCCCTGCCGCGGGGGGCCTTTGGGGGCAGGCCTGTGCTGCGGGCGCCCGCCACCCTTTCTTCTAGACAGCGGTCAGCCGAAGGAGCACTCGACCTTGGCCGGCTCGCTCTCCTGCAGCTGCAGGTCGGTGACCTCCAGCAGCAGGCCGCACTGGGGATTCATCACCCACACCTGGCGCAGCTCGAGGCGCACCCTAGCGCTGCGGCCCGCAAGGTCGCCCGGCTCCTGCAGCGGGTATCCTTCCGTGTCCCAGAAGCGCACCCTGTCCCAGTTGAGCTTGGCCTTCAGGAAAGGGGTGCCCCGCTGGCTGGTCTTGAGGCATGATTGCAGCCGCGCCTCCAGCTCGGCGGGCGAGAGGCTGCGGCCGAACACTTTGGGGTCCCTGCCCGACTTGGCCACGAGCTTGGACGCCAGCTCCTTTTCCACAACCTTGAAGTGCTGCTCGACGGACTCATCCGGCTCGAAGCAGACGTTCACGCGGCGGGCGTCGGCATCGCCGAAGGCGGCGGGGTGCCACAGGATGCGCAGCCAGGCGGGGCTGCTCCACGCGGGCACAACTCCGTCCGCCGCCTTCAGCGGCAGGTACTTGCCTCCCTTCGCGTTCGTGAGAAGCTCGCCCAGCTCGAAGCTCTGCCTTGATGCCATGTTCTTCCGCTGGCGAGCCGGCGGCTCTATTTACCCTTCCATAAAAGGCCATGGACTTGTCCGACCAAGGTCCCCAACGCCCGCTGCCGCCCATGACCCTGCGTGAGTGCGTCATGTGCAACCTCGAGCTGGCCTGCCTGCTCGCGGGGCTCGTCGTCTTCGTGTGGTACCTTTGCGATCCAATCAAAGAGCATGAGGCTCCTTGAGCTCTTTTCGGGCACGGGGTCGATCGGGCGCGCTTTCCGGGACAGGGGCTGGGAGGTCGTTTCCGTGGACCTCGATCCCAAGTTCGAGCCCACCGTCTGCTGCGACATCATGGAGCTGGATGAGACTTCTTTGGGGCACTTCGACATGGTCTGGGCCAGCCCTGTGTGCACCGAGTACTCCCAGGCGCTGCGGAAGAGGCCCCGCAACCTCGAGGCGGGGGACCGCCTCGTGCTACGAGCGCTCGAGGTCATCCGCAACCTGCGCCCGCAGTGGTGGGCCTTGGAGAACCCGCAGACGGGGCTGCTGAAAACTCGACCCTTCATGCACGGGCTGCCCTTCTCGGACGTCTGCTACTGCAAGTACGGGTACCGGTACCGGAAGGCCACGAGGAACCTGCCTTGGCGGCCCTCGGAAGCCATGTGCCTCAAAGACAGCCGCTGCGCCGCCTTCGCGGACGGCATCCACCCCGAGGCAGCACAGCGGGGGACGACCGCCGGCCGCCGCGGTCAGCAGAGCCAGCCGCAGCTCTACAGCATGCCTCCGCGGCTTTGCGAAGAGCTGGCCGCGTCTGTCAGCGGCTGATCGGGAGGTGTAAAGAATGGGCAAGGTCAAACTCTTCCCGACGCCCAAGTTCCAGGTGCAGCAGCCCCGCGACCCCGTGGTGCCCAGGCTGCCGGCGAACGGCGTGCTGGTGGGTCCGAGTCGCACAGGCAAGACCGTGCTCCTCGTGTCCATGATCTTGGAGCAGTACAGAGGCTGCTTTTCCCGCATCTACATCATGTCACCTTCCGTGGACATAGATTCTGCCTGGGACCCCGTGAAGGACTACATTCGCGAGGAGCTGGGCGTCGACACAGACCGTGAGCAGGCTTGGTGGACCGAGTGGGACGAGGACGCGCTGCGCCGCATCATGGAGCAGCAGAAGCGGATCACACAGCAGTCCAAGCGCCTGGGCATGAAGAAGCTGTACCAAGTTTTGCTGGTACTCGACGACGTAGCGGACGCCAAGGGGGTCCACAACAGGACCGGGGATGGCATGCTGGACAAATTGTACATCAGAGGCCGCCATTACATGATTTCAACGTGGACCAGCACCCAAAAGCTGCGACTGATGAGCTCGGCGGTGCGGGTGAACATCATGTTCGCTTGCGTTTTCCGGCTGCGGAACCGCTTGGAACTGGAAGCTCTAGTGGAAGAATTGAGTGCGCTCGTAGACAAGGAGACGCTTTACGGGATGTATGAGGAAGCCACCAGGGAGAAGTACTCTTTTTGGTACGTCAACCTGCTGGCGCCCAAAGAGGAGGCCTTCTGGGTGCGCTTCGAGCGAAAATTCGTGCTGGACGGCGCCGCGGAGCCCGCGCAGCCCGCGGAGCCCCAGCAGCCGGTAAATGGGCGGCATCCTCTCGGCGGCGGCCAGCAAGCTGCTGGGGGGCGGGCCGATCATCGAGAGCGAGTGCAGCAACATTAGGTGCTGCAGCAGCCAGCCCAACGTCTACGACCCTCGCCTGGCCACTCTGCCGACCACTTGGGGCCAGCGCGGCGTGTCGGGTGAGTCCACGGCCAGCGGGCTCTCCCGAACGCCGTTCCGGTTTAGGAGAAACAAGCCGGTTATGTCGACCATATACGTCGACTCCAGGAACCGCGTCTCGGGCTCCGACAGCAACTTCACCTTCGAGCTCCCGGAGACGCTGCACATGCAGACGAGCGCCAAAATGGCGGTCTACAAGGTGCGCATCGCAGACGCGTTTCACGCACCTCTACTGGATCGACGTGGCCCTGGGCACGCTGAACACGGCGGAGCTGCCCGTGGGCGCCTACACCGGCGCGCGGCTGGCGGCCTGGATCTCCTCCAACTTCGCAGCCGCCACCTACGTGGAGGCCACGAACGCCGTCGAGGTGGCCTACGACTCGAACCGCCGCATACTCTCGGACGCGGAGCTGCGGGACCTGTTCCCGAACGGCCCGGGGTACCCCCAGGGCGCCTCCGCTACCCGCCCCCAGAGCATCAACCACCTGCTGGGCGGCAGCTACCTGGACGGCGCGCTGCAGATCTTCCTGTGGGTGTCCATGAACGCCTACAACGAGGTCTACCTGCGGTGCCGGGAGCTGGGCAACGCGGCCCACATCCTGGGCCCCTTGGGGACGGACATAATTTGCAAGGTCATCGTGGACCGCGGCGTGGGGCACGTCATGAAGGACCAAACCGACGACGGCCACTTCGTGGAGCTCAGGGGCCCGATCACGCTGCGGTCTCTGAATTTTCGGCTGACGGACGTGAATGGCAACGAGGTGAACACCCGAGGCACGTCCGTCAGCTTCGCGATTTTCCTCGACCCAGAAAAATGAAGGGCCCGAAGAAAGAAAACAAAAGGGGACCCACGCTGGCATGGCCGATGAGCCAGAGCCCACGCAGCAAGAGCCCCAGCAGGGTGCTCCGGAGGCAGCAGGCGCGGAGGAACCTGCTGGAGCAGCCGAGCTGGTGGGAGAGGCTCCTGCAATGGCTGATCCCGCCCCCGCTCCCCCTGCCACACCTCGCCCTGGGGTGGTGGCCGTGCCCGCCGCTGAGGACGCCGGAGCACCAGTGCCCAAGCGCAGGGGCCGCCCGGCCGGTTCAAAGAACAAGCCCAAGCCGCCGGCGACGGTTCCCGCCGCCGACGCTGGGGGAGGCGGTCAGCCGCAGCCGGCGAGCGCGGTTCCTGCTCAGCCGGAGCCCGAGCCGGAGCCCAAGCCGAAGCAGCGCCCCCTCCACCTGACGCCCTCGCAGGTGCGCATGATGCGCCAGATCAGCCGGCAGAACCGCTTCGAGCAGCTGGCCATGGCGAACAGCATGGACGTGTAGAGCTAAAAGGATGATGCCCCTGGAGCGCCGCAACGAGCCCCAGATGCTCAGGAGCTTCTGGCAGAAGTACCCGAGCTACAACGTGAATCCGCTGCTCCACAAGCGCTACAACGAGCTCCTGGAGGCCCGGGCCTTCAACAAGTGGCTCGAGGAGCGCCGGACGCGCAAGGAGGGCGAGGAGTACACCGACGCGGTGGGCCGGCTGACGGAGGCCGTGAACCGCCGGGTGCCCCAGCTGCGGTACGCCCCGGCGGAGCGGGCGGGGGTGCGGCGGATGGCGAGGGACGTCGCGGCGGGCAGGAACACGGCGGACAGCGGCGTTCACGGGGGCATGCTGTAAAGACGCACACATGGAGGAGCAGCGCCAGTACGGCTTCAGGGTGCGCCCCAACTTCGGTCAGGTGCTGGGATACTTTTGCACTTTGCACGCAGCGAAGTCTGAACATCTCGGTGTGAGAACGGAACAGCTAGTTCGCCCTGCGACGGTAACACGTGCAAGCCCAGAGGGCCCGGTGCTTCAGGAGCACATGTTGAAAGTACAACATCACAAGAACTTAGAACCTACCACACAGCTGCACGAATTGGCACATACAAGACACCACGAATGGCCGGTAATGCATGTGAGAGACACTGAATTTGCAGTAATCTCTGAGATCCCCCCCATGACAGCTACAAAGCCATCTTGAAACACTATGGAACATACGACATTAAGTCGGCAGCGAAAAGGAAATGCCTATCCCATCACATCACTCTGCTGATATGTAAATCAAAGCATACAAGTTCTTGCAAGCAATATCATCGAAGTCGGAAATTGGTTGAGGAGCAGCATGGTCATCGCATTGATACATATTTCCATTGTCAGAACTCTTCAGAATGCAAGTGTAGTGTCCATTCTGTGGCAGAGATCCATGATGGACGATCCCTGCTACTAGCCTGTAACTCACATATCGCAAGCTCAGTGAAGTGGCATCGACAAAGACAGGAAGTTGTATCTCATCTTGCAAATACTTGATGACAGTAAAGAGCTTACGGATGCGATTCTCAGGCGTCACTCGCTTGATCGTTTGAGGCTGACGAAATCTGCCCACCTGCACCATGAGCATTGTAGGTAGCACAAGAAAGCCACGAAATGCACCTGAAGTGGGATCTGCCTGCCATTTGTTCAGCATCACATGTATAGAGCAAGACCTGGCGTCCGGTGTGAGGGATAAGCAATAGCCAGTATCAGCGATATGAACAAGCCCATCTCTGAGCTGCCTTGCTTGCCATACCCCAAAGAGATCCCCAATGCCTGTCGTGTTGATAACATGGTGTGCAAACTCACAAACATCATGCTGTCGATTGTTGTGTTGCCAGCCTCGCAGCACAGGTTGCAGCACATTTGATGACGGCAAATCCAGAGCCCCATCCAATGGCTCAACACCTGAAAGAAGATCTGAGAGCAAATGTACCAGATGCGTGTGACAATGCAAGCGTATTTCCGAGCATACAGAGGCCCAAGCTAGAGATCTTATCCAGGAGTTCAAATAGCAATATGTTCCAGTGTTGGCCAAAATGGCTTGTGTAAGCAAATCCTGAAGCACATGCTGAGATGAAGACCTCGGTTTCACTGATTCGATCCGTATGCCCATTCCTGGAGCTTCACTGCCAGCGGCGAGCGACGAAGACCCTCGCGCTTGTACTGAAGTCCGATGAGTTGCCACACTGCATTGTTCTGAAGACTCAAGAGTTGCTGGAACAAGCGAGTTCCTTGGGTCTCCCTCACGGAGACATCCATGAGGAGAACTGCAATTCCCTGTAGGTCCTGGGACAAGCGTCTTGTGCTGTGGAACCGATGCAGGACATGATGTTGAGTGATGATGTCCAAGATGGCCTGCACATTCTGAATCATGTCGGGGATTGGGATTGACCGATGATTCGTGTCGACGAGCAAGGTGCGAGTATCCGGATCCCACTTCTGAAACACCCAACGGCACTCCTTGTCCAACCAACCCGAGAACTGGTACTTTGTGCGAAGCTCCTCGTCCTTCTCGACCTCCCTGAGCTCCTTGAGCAAGGTGTGTATCATCGTCATGAAGAGAACCTCCCGGAGCGGAAGTCGGCCCACCGCACTCGGTTGCTCTCGGTTGGCATCGTCTTTCCACTTCGTAGCAGCTGCGAACAGCGTTGGAACCACTGTCGGCTGGGATGTTCGAGCAAACCAGACTATTGCCGTGTCCTGACGAAGGACCTGTATGGAGTCCGTGTTCTGCAAGAGAAGACGACAGGCCAGACGAAAGGCCTCCTCCATGTCTTCTGTCTCCATCAGCGAGGAGTTTGTAGTATCCTTGTGGTGGCCCTTTGAACCGTTGCTTGAGCCTGCTCCCTTGCCTCCTTTGTGTCCCGGACGTCGATGCTTGGTTCGGTTGGAGAAGTCTTCCTCCATTGGTCGTTTGCTGGCAGTCATGCTTATCTCGCCAAAGAACTCCTCCATCTGATGAAGTGCGGATGTCGGTGCTTTCTTGCTAAACTTCAAGTCGCTCTTTTTCCTTGAACCGATAAAAGGCGCTGTCGGTAAAACATGAGTCACAAATCCACACATGCTCATCAACCCTTTGGGTTGGTAGGTGGGGTTCCCAGGTAGTAGAAAAACTTTACACCCCGCCTTGATGTTGTGCGAACTGTAAGCTCAACATCACTCTACAGTAACGGGTTTGTAGAAACTGTACAGGTATGTCGTTGGGCTCATCTGGTATTGTGCGATGGCCTCGTTGTGCTCTCCCTATCGGAGTCATTGCACTCGGTGAAAACTGTTCCCACTGCTTCCTCGTGGGTAACACTTCGCTCAGGTAAGCTTGTACTCGCTGTAGCTCACACTGTACGGAAAAGTGAAACATTCCATCATTCACTCACATGGTCCCGGGCCTGCAATTGCCACAAGGACGGTAGTGCAATCTCGCATGCACTGCTGCACTGTAAGTGAATCTCTCTGACCTTTGCACATCTGCACATGTAGGTCGGTGGTACCTCTTGCCATGAGGCGTGTACACATAATGGGGTTGTGCTCGTAGCTGTTCGTCCACATCCTGTGCCATAGGAATGATATTAACCATTCCCCATTCTTGAAATCGCCTTGCAAGCTCTTCGTCATTCACATGGATTTGGCTTGCTGGTACTGTACTGATTCCAGGCATCCCATTACCACTGCCTGTCGCTGAATCCTCTGGTGCATCACGGAAATACATATTGACTGCCCTTGCTGTACGTTGAACATCATCCTCATCGGGCGGACAATACTTTTGCACAAATCTTCGAATAGTGAATTCCTCCTGCGGTTCCTGTGGTCCTTCTTCCTCCGGTTCCTGTGGTCCTTCTTCCTGCGGTTCCTGTGGTCCTTCTTCCTGTGGTTCCTGTGGTCCTTCTTCCTGCGGTTCCTGTGGTCCTTCTTCCTGTGGTTCCTGTCGTCCTTCGTTCACCTTCTGCTCGACCATGTAGAACAAGAGTAAAGCGAAAATTCCTCCTAGTAGCACACTGAAAAGAATAATCCATCCACTCACTTCCTTCACATAGATGAAAACAAATTCTCGTTCTTCTCGTTCTCGTCCTCCAAAATCGTCTGGCTGTCCTGCAATCTGAGAAATCATATTCACCATCATTGTCAAGTACATCGCTCTAGCCGTCTTGCTTCCACGCTCATTCAACAAAGTTGCACGTAGTGCTCGAACTTGGCTTCGGCAAACTTCACCTGCCACATGTTCCATTGCTTCTTCTTTCCCATAACGCTCATGACTTTCTCCATTCCACACCATGGCTCCAATATGGTACATGAGAAATCTCCTTCGAGATACTCCTAAGCGCTTTGTATTCAAGTCGGCAATGTTTAATTTGGTAGGCACTGGCTTTGCTTTGAAGCTGTTGTTCTTCACCCCTCGCTGAAGCCATAATACTCTCAGATCGATATGTTTGAGTCCTCCGACTCCTGTTCGCATCATCCATTGTCTTCCCGCACTTGAATCCATCCGGATCTCCACGAGTAACTTTCCTGCAAGAAACATCCACAACTTCTTCAGTAACATCGCTTCTGATGCTCCTCCTGAGCATGCTAGCACTTCGGACTCTGCCGAACTTAAAGCTGTAGCTTTCTGGGTCCTGCTATACGAAAGTACTGGCACTGCATTCACACACACAATCACTGATGATGTAGACCATCTCGCTTCACGGTCTGATGCCCAATCTGCATCCGTGAATACTTCCATACTGTGTGTTCCTTTCTTTTCTTCGCCTTCTTCTTCTTGCTCTTCTCTTTGATAGATCGTATCCATCATCTTGTTTCCAACCTTTGTGTACTTCAGTAGGAATCCCAGTTGCTCTGTTCCTTGCACATAGAGCAAAGCTTGTTTCAAACAGGTTAACGCTTGTTCCGTTGGCTTCGACATCTTACTTGCCAAACACTTCGTCACATGCTGTAAATCCCATCGGTCTTGGGAAATGTACAACAGTGTTCCCAACGCTGAACGAAACTTCTTGCACTCGTTCTCCTCCAGTTCTTTGGAATTGTCCACTGTTCCAATCAGCTGGTGCTCTGGGGTTTGCCTTGGCTTTCGGTTCCCCAGCTTGTAGAGTCCTCTAAGCTTCTCGTAGTGCTTCTTCGACACTGTCACCAAAATTCCTTCTTCAAGGAACTCATAGGTCCTCTTCAGGTAATGAAGCTGTTCTCCCGATCCCCGGTGGGATGGGAACGGTCCCTCAACTGTGAGCTTGAAAAACTTCTCTAGCTCGCATATCAGCCATCTTCCTTCGCCTTTCGCACCTGCAACTAGCTCGTCGTCGACATGAATCGACACTGCAATCTTCTTCACTCGGTGCTTCAAGATTGAGGGTATCCCAACAAATTGCTCAAATCCCAAACGCTTCAAAATCTCAACCAAATGGGTAAACCATTGTTCTGCCGCTGATCTTTGCCCTGGCAAACACTTCTCCACTTTCCATACATGGTCTTCATCCAAACCAAGTAGTGTTCGAATCCACGGTGAGATATCAGCATACATCAGAGCTTTCTGCTTGACTTGCAAGAATGCGTCACGAATGTCAAGAACTGTAAGCTCCCAATTGTAGATGAGATGAAAAAGAAACATCATTCGCACTGCTGCGTGTCCTGACGTAGGACTAAAAGTCTCCTCCGTGCTCTGGGCTCCCGCACGGAATTCCCGACACACAATTCTGCATCTACGCTTCCAAACTCCATCTCTCTTTCTCCAATCGAAAACTGTCCTTAGTGTCAGAAACTTACCTTCCTCTGAACACTCTTCCTTCTTGATCGTCTTCACAACCTTCATGTTGGCGAGTTTGTCAAGTTCAGCT